ACACATAATTTTTATGTTAATGCTAAAAAAAAATCATGCTTGAACATGTATTACTACTACTGCACTCTTCCTCACTCTCAACACTGAGGCCCTGCTGGGAGATAAGTAAGGGTAGTCAGCTGGGTTTAACTGTGCTTACCCTCCCTCCTCAAGAACACACACAAAGATCAAACAAAAAAAGGTTCTGAGGTAAGAAAACCCCATGCATAACATTAAACACATAAATCACATACATAAAAAAACCCACCAAAGTGTATCACAAAAGTCTTTACTAAACAAAACCCTCTTTATCCTAAATTTTAAAAAAGACTTTTTTATTAATTTGCATGAAAATAAAGTTTATATTTTTCTGATGTCTTTTTTAAATGAAAGTGATGATGGTCATACTACCACATTTGTCTTGGAAATCAAAGAATGCCACCCACAAATGAGCAAGAGAGTGCTTTAGATAATACCTGTTTGACTCTAGGTAAATTTACTACCTTACTTTCACAACCCATTCCTTCCTCCTAAATCTCACTGGTATCCTAGGCTAACTAGATTTCTCCCATCCAAGTACTAACCAGGCCCGACCCTGCTTAGCTTCCGAGATCAGATGAGATCGGGCACGTTCAGGGTGGTATGGCCATAGACAGGCTAACTAGATTTCTTTGCTCATCTGTTTCCTTTTCAGAGAATACCTTTCATTCCACTAATACCTAGCTCAAACACCATGTCTTCCATCAAGTTTTCCCTGATAGTCTTATTTAAAAGCAAACAGTTGCAGCTGGGCACCGGTGGCTCGTGCCTGTAATCCTAGCTCCTCAGGAAGCTGAGATCTGAGGACCACAGTTTGGAGCCAGCCCAGGTACAAAAGCCTGTGAGGCTCTTATCTCCAATAAACTACTCAGAAAAAGCTGGAAGTGATGCTGCAGCTCAAGTGGTAGAGCACAAACCATGAGCACAAGAGGTTCAAGGATAGCACTTAGGCCCTGAGTTCAAGCTCCTAGACAGGCAAAAAAAAAAAAAAAAAAAGTGCTGTTATTCCTATTCCTTTGAACTGGTTAGAACATTTAATACCTTCTACCTCAAAATGTATTATAATTATTGTGTTAATCTTCCTAACATAATGAACTTTATAAGGAAAGAAGTTTTCTATGTTAATGCTCAGCAGCTAGCTCGATAATGTAGGTCTAGCTTTGTGCTATAGTATTTCTATGTATTTTATATCAGTACACTGTGTTTATCCTAGATTATCCTAATATCCTAGCTAGATTAATATCTGATCATGGAGTACATATAACAATGTTACATCATAAGCTTAGGGTACTTAATTTTTAATAACTCATGGGAAGGAGAACTGTAACAACACAAAAACATACTTGTTGATAGGTAAAGTTCATATACTTTCTAAATGCTATTACATCTTGGGTTATAGTTTCAAAATACATAACTGGAAGCGTTAAAACATTTATGAAGTGTAATGAGTTGTGCAAATTATTTCTTGAACATCTGTTATATATAGTTGGCCCTGTTAAGGAACATGAAATATAAAACAATACATACTATCGAAGGCAATGTAATAGTGATCTTAACTACCAGGCATTCATTTTGATTACATTCAAAGTCTAAAACAGAATATACACATTTCTAAATCATATTCCTTTGCAGAATGAACAGTTTAATTTTATAATAAATTATTACACAGTTGTAATTATAATCATATGGACTCTTGAAGGATACTATGATTACTGGCCCTCAAGTTGAAAGTATTTGCCTGGAGGAAACTGAGATTTTAGATATTATTTGTTTTTCTGTTTCTGTTTTGCAATTTTTGCTATTTGTGTTTTCTTCCTATCATTTAACTTTATTGTTCTTCTTTTCTATCTATTTAAATGTCCCAAATTTTTTCTGAGTTCTTGTGTTCCATTCAGTGTACTGGAAATATACTAGCGAACAGAAGAGACAAAAGCTTAAGCATCAAAGAGTTTACATTTTAGTGGGAAAACAGAGATAAATATGTAATATATTTTAATTATAAGCACTAAAGGGACAGAATAAATTATTTCTGGGTAGGCTAGGAATGTAGCTTAGTGGCAGAGTGCTTGCCTAGCATGCATGAAGCCCTGGATTCAATTCTTCAGTACCACACAAGCAGAAAAAGCCAGAAGTGGCACTGTGGCTCAAGTGGTAGAGTGTTAGCCTTGAGCAAAAGAAGCTCAGGAACAGCGCCCAGGCCCTAAGTTCAAGCCTCAAGACTGGCAAAAAAAATAAAAAAAAAAATTAGGGTTGGGTTTAGGGTGATTAGAAAGGTCTACTGAAAAGGGAACCAAAATGAATGGATAAAGTAAGCTATGTACAGAGCTTGGGAAAGATACATTAGGCCACTGCAAGTCCCTTAGATGAGAAAGAACTTAGAATTTTCAAAGAACAGTAGGTAAAACACAGTGAGTGTAGGGGAGGATGACAGGATATATAGTAAGAAAGGTCCATGGGGACAATATTCTATTGTATCTTATAGGCCACTGTAAAATGTTTGGATTTTATTGTAAGAGAAACTGGGAATGGATTTCAAATAGAAGAGTGACATGATCTACATAAAACAAACAAAACACCATAGGTTTATGTTGTATAGGAGGTTAACAGTGGATTCAAGGAAACAAGCTCAGAAAAAAATGTTGTGTAGATAAGGACCATACTGGTAGAAGTAGTGAGAAGCAGTTAGATTTAGATAATTTGAAGACAGAGCAACAGGATTTGCTGATGGATTAGTGATGAATAATGTTTTAGATTGAATCTTAAATGTTCCCCCAAAGGTCATGTGTTAAAAACTGTTCTCAGATGATGGCTCTATTAGCATATTAGGAACTTTAGCAGGAAGTAGGTCTAGTTGGAGAAGTAGGTTACTGGGGATATGGTATATTGTGAGACAAACCCCTTCCTAATTTTCTCCCAGCCACCATGACCTTGGCTCCGCCACTTGCTTCCCACCACATTGTTCTGACCAGGACCAAAATGACAGGGCCAAACCATGGGCTGAAATTGTGAGTCAAAATAAACATTTCCTCCTTTTGATTTTTTTTGTCGAGAGTGGGGCTTTAACTTTGGGCCTGGGCTCTTCAGCTCAAGGCTAGCACTCTATCATTTGAGCCACAGCAGCACTTCTGGTTTTCTGGTGGTTAAATGGAGATAAGAGTTTCATGGACTTTCCTGCCCTGGCTGGATTTGAACCTTGACCTCAGATCTCAACCTCCTGAGTAGCTAGAATTACATGTGTGAGCCACTGGCACCTAACTAACATTTCCTCCTTTTGCACTGCTAATCTCAGATATTCTGCCACTGTAATGGAAATTTGACTAACACGAGGGAAAACTAAAAGGTTTCAGCCTAAGAAACCAGGTAACAAGTGATGCCACAGAAAAGAAAAGCCTGCTTAGGGACAGAAAATCAAGAGTTCTTTTTTCCTATGTAAGTGTGAGGTGCCTATGAAATAGTCATGCAGCTAATTAGTCCTTAACATGTAAATGGTATTTACAGCAATAGGCTCAAGTAAGACTACCTCAGTAGGAAATGAGTAATAGTAGAAATGTAAGGATTTAATCTAATGGGATGCCCCAATATGTCAATATTACAAAGAAGAGTATAGCTAGTGAAAGACACTGGGAAAGATCCACAAGTAAAATTTAGTAGGAAAGCCTACCTAAGAAAATATTTCAAGAAGCAGTGATAAACAATGTAAAATGCTATTGAGGGGTTTGGTAAAATTCTTTAGATAAATTTAGTAAGACTACACTTTCCTTACTATTTCATTATTTCTTAGTATTGAGACTACTATTGCTTAAGAGCAAGCAACCTTTTCTACTATCTAATTTTTTAACTTGATTACATAAACAAGTTTCTTAAAACTATATACCAAAGCAATCATAAATAGTTCTGGAGAAGACTGAGGATCTCCAATAAGCAAAGTGAGTTTTGGTGAATAAATTGCCTAAGGTTTATTGCTCTTCATCTATGATTAAGAAGGCTAAAATTCTGGAACCCAAAGAAGTCTGAAGAAACTGAAACTAAAACTAAAAAAATGATGAAGAAGCTGCGCATCATTGGCTCTTGTCTTTAATCCTAGCTACTCAGTAGGCTGAGACTTGAGGATTGTGGTTCAAAGCCCACCAGGGCAGACAAGTCTATGAGACTCATTATCTCCAATAAACCACCAGAAAACCAAAGTGGCCCTGTGGCTCAAGTGGAAGAGTGCTTGCCTTGAGCTGAAGAGGTGAGGGACAGTGCCCAGGCCCAGAGTTCAAGCCCAATAACCAACAACAACAAAAAAAGATGATTAAGAGGTCAATGATTAAAAGTGTAACTATACCCAAAGGCAAAAGAGAAAATAGCTGGGTGCTAGTGGCTTATGCCTGTAATCCCAGCTACTCAAGGAGGCTGAGATCTGAGGATCATGGTTCAAAGCCAGCCCAGCCAGGAAACTCCATGGAACTTTTATCTTAAAAAACTACTCAGAAAAAGCCAGAAGTGAAACTGTGGCTCAAGTTTAGAGCACTAGCCTTAAACAAAAAGAAGCTCAAGGATAGAGCCCAAGCCCTGAGGTCAAGCCCCAGAACTGGTACAAAAACAAAACAAATAAGAGACAAATAACCAATCTCCAAAGAAAAAAAATTAGCCTTGACAAACTTCTTTCACTATTTTTGGTATAAGAATACTTGATTTTTTGGGTGGGCAGGGCCAGTCCTGAGGCTTTAAATCAAGGCCTGGGCACTGTCCCTGAGATTCTTTTGCTCAAGGCAAGCATTCTACCACTTGAGCCACACTGCCATTTCTGGCTTTTTCTGTTTATGTGGTACTGAGAAATTGAATCCAGGGCTTCATGCATGCTAGGCAAGCACTCTACCCCCTAAGCCACATTCCCAGCCCCGAATGCTTCATTTATTTATTTATTTTTTTATACAGGGGCAGAATATGACACAGGCATATTAATTTGGATAAATTATTTCAAACTTTAAACTACTTACCTGCAAGCACAAGGGTAATATTTAGTACAATGAATATTCCACAAAATAGGCCAACCCTAAAAGTAGTCCATGCTGGTGCAGGCTGTGGACCAAAAAACAGCATTTTGAGTATAAGACGATATCAAATAACATTTAGCATATGCTGTAACAAGCAGTAAAGTTTCATAATTTATAAAAATAGCTGGTGGGAGAAAAAATGGGGCTGAATATAGTCAAAATACACAATTTGCAACTATGAAAACAGAACAAGAAAACCTCCTGGGAATGCTGTTTTAAAGAGAAGGGGAAGAAAGTATGATATGTGAAATTGAAATACAGTGTAAACTGTATAAAGATGTAACAATGAATTCCTCCCCTATATAACTAAGCCAATAAAAATAAATACAAAAGGAACCTATGAAACCTTAAGTGTTTTATGATCCATTTTTCTCTCTCTTTTTTTTTTGGTGACAGGGTCTTGTTTATGTCTATATAGTCCAGGCTGTTTATGTAGTCCATGCTGTCCTTGAACCTGCTATCTTCTTGTTCAGCCTCCCCAGTGCTGGGGATTTTGCTACTATGCCTTGCAATGATCTGGATCTTTATAAATCTAAATCACAGAATTATCCATGAACTATCATCCTATAAACTAGAATAGAGTTGCCAGTTATTTTATAAAACTCTGATCTGAGTCATGAAATAACCTGAAATATCTAATTTTGTATACACTAAAGACTAGCAGAGATTTTAAATGCAATTTTACCTTTTACAACATATACATCTCTAACTTTTTTGTGTGTGTCCTACAGTTTGATCTTATTAGGGCCACTGGCGCTGTCCTTGAGCTTTGTGCTCAAGACTAATAATCTACCATGTGAGCCACCACCACTTCTGGCTTTTTTCTGGAGGTTAAGAGTCTCATGGACTATCCTGCCTGGGCTAGCTTCAAACCACAACCCTCAAATCTCAGCCTTCTGAATAGTTAGGATTACAGGTGTTAACCATGATACATCTACTCCCCTCCTTCACACCTCTCCCATCCCCAATTTCTGCGGCTTGAACTCTGGGCCTTGGTGCCTTGAGCCTCTTTGTGCTCAAGGCTAGCACTCTACCACTTGAGCCACAGTGCCACTTTCAGCCTTTTCTGAATAGTTTATTGGAGGTACTAGTCTCATCAAGTTTCCTGCCTGGGCTGGCTTTGAACCTCAATCTTCAGATCTCAGCTTCCTGATTAACTAAATCTACAGGATCACTGGGGCCCAGCCATCTCTAAATTTTAAAAATATTATTTAATTGGAGTTTATATGTTTGGTATTATGAATAATTAGAAACAATGGTAAAAATAACATTTATTTTCTGATACTGCTTATGCTATTATACTGGGATGACAAATTAATTTTTCAAGATATACTAGTGTATCTTTAGTATACTATACTATAATTTTTAGAGTGTAAGAGTCAAATAATATTCCTCTTGCTAGGTACAGTAGCTGAAGTCTCTAGTTTGAGCTGTTTGGGAAGTGGAGAATGGGAAACTGCAATCTTGAGGCCAGCCTGGGAATTAAAAGTTTGTAAGACTCCATCACAACCAATGGCTAGGCATGGCAGTGTATGCCTGTCATCCCAAGCTACAGGACAAGCACAATGGCTGCCTGCAATGGCATGTGCCTGTAATCCAAGAAATAAAGGGAAGAACAAATAGAAAAGATCATAGTCCACACCGAAATGGGAAGAGTCCCTATTTCAAAAATAACTAACAAAAAGAGATGCTAGAGGCATGGCTCAAGGGTAAAGGTTGCTGGAATCATATGATATATACTTTTTATTTTTTTGGTGGTACTGGGTTTGAACTCAGGACCTCAAATTTGTTAGGCTGGGGCTTTATCACTTAAGCCATGCCTCAACCCTGTTTGCTTCTTTCTTTCCTTTCTTTCTATCTTTCTTTCTTTCTTTATCTCTTTCTCTCTCTTTCTTTCTTTCTCTCTTGCTTGCTTGCTTTTTGTGGGCTATAGGGCCTGGGTGCTGTCCCTCAGCCTTTTTGTGCTAGGCTAGCACTCTACTACCTGAGCCACAGCATCACTTCCAGTTTTTGAGTAGTTAATTATAGATAAGAGTCTCACAGAGACTTTCCTGCCCTGGCTGGCTTTGTACTGAGATCCTCAGATCTCAGTCTCCAGAGTAGCTAGGATTATAGGTGTGGCCACCTGTGGCTGGCTTCAAGCCCTGCTTTTTGCTGCTTATTCTAGAGATGGAGTCTAGTTAACTATTCTGCCTGAGGTGGCTTTGCACTATAATCCTCTGGATCTCAGCCTCCTAACTAGTTAAGGTATAAGCAAGAACAACTAGTACTTGGCTTGTTTTTTCTTTTTTTTTAAATGTGCCTCAGAGTAATTATTTTACAAATCATCTGGGCAGTTTACTTATAGATACTGCTGAGTAGTATTTCATTGTACAGAATTACTTCAAATATTTTATCCATTATCTACAGAAGGACATTTGGGTTGTTTTCAGTTGTATGCTATAATAATTAAAATTACTATCAACATTCATATACAATACCTTATGTATGCTTGTACTTGTTTTGGTAGATACCTGGGAATGTGATAGCTAGTCATATGGTAGGTGAATACTTAACTCTTAATTGTTTAGGAAACTTGCTATTTACTAATGTGGTCATTCCATTTTCTATTTCACAAGTAGCGTACAAGAGTTCCAATTCCTTCAACATTTAGCATCACCAATCATTCTAGTCTATCTCACTGTGGCTTTCATTTGCATGACGCTACTGTTTAATGACATTAAATACCTTTGTTGCATGCTGATTTTTCATCTGTACATCTTTGATGAAGCTCAAGTCCTTCCCATTGTTAAACTGGGTCATTTTTTGAATAGTATAATTCTTTATAAAGTCATTTGTCAGATACTTTTTGCAATATTTTCTCCTAACTGAATGTTTTCTTCTCACTCTCTTAACAGGATCTTTTGACTAGATGTTTTAAATTCTGATGAAGTGATTCTGATGAAGTTATTTCTAAGAAATCCCTGAATAATCCAAAGACACTGATGACTTTCTTCCATATTTTCTTCTTGAAGCTTTAGATATATGATGTGAGAAATATGGAAAAGGCCTTTTTTTAATATGGAATCCAATTGTTCCAGCACCATTTGTTAAAAACGTTCTTGTTTCTCCACCTACTTGCTTTGTATCTGTATTGAAAATTAAGTGTCCATAAATACTTAAATACTTTAGCCTGTTACTGGACTCTCTATTTTGTTTCAAAGAAATATCTGTCTATTTTATACTAATACCACACTGTATTGATTATTGTAGCTTCAATAATATCCCAGATAATGTTAATCTTTTAATTTAGTGGTTCCAAAATTGTTCAGGCTATTCTTGGCTCTTTTCATTCCCATATACATTTTTAAAAATTAGTTTACAACATTTATACATGCATGCACACGCACGCGCGCACACACACACATACCCATAAAATGCCTGAAATTTTTAATTGGATTGTGTTGTATCTATAAATCAACTTAAGAAATAAAATCTTATAAATATTCGATTAACAATATACCCATGAACATGATGTGTCTCTTACTTAAGTTTTCATTCATATATTTTAGCAATATTTATTTTTCACTGTCTTTCATGTTTTGTCAGAATTCTTTTTCTTTCTTTCTCTCTCTTTCTCTCTCTCTCTCTCTTTCTTTCTTCCTATTTTTGTTGGTCATGGGGCTTGAACTCTGGGCTCGGGTGCTGTCCCTCAGCTCCTCAGCTCAAGTCTAGAGCTCTACCACTTGAACCACAGTACCACTTCTGGTTTTCTGAGTGGTTTGTTGGAGATAAGAGTCTTGTGGACTTTCATGTCTAGGCTGGCTTTGAACCACAATCCTCAAATCTCAGCCTCCGGAGTAGCCAGGATTACAGGCATGAGCCACTGTTACCCGGCTGTCAGAATTATTTCTAACCATTTCATAGTTTGATGGTCTTATGAAGAGCATTATTGGAAAGTTATTCTTCCTGAAATACAGGAATCTAACCAATTTTTGTAAACTTATATTGTAATTGAATTGGCACCCTTGCCAGACTCTTTTATTAGTTCTAATGGTCGATGAAATTTCTCCATAGATCATCAGTACATAGGCAGAAAAATCTCACCAGTTTTGTATTTTATAATAGTAAAATAAAATATTTTTAGACAGTCTTGTTATGTAGCTCAGGCTGACCTTGAACTCTTGATCTTCCTGACTCAAGTTTCCTGTGTACTAATATTATAAGCATGTGCCACCAGACCTGGCTCTTGGCATCTAGTTAAAAAAAAAAACCCACATACACACAAAACTAGAATAAAGCAGCAACTACTTATAAATTTTGGCTTAAAATTTTTTTAAGATAATGAAGCCAGCTAGCAACTAGATTGTGTTATTAAGTAAGATTTTAAATAGAGAAAAGCAAGCAAACCTCTATTAGCAAACACTAACCTGAGCAGCTCCCAGAGGGGGCACACGCAACCGTTTCATAGCCTTTTGTCTGTCACCATCTTCAAGTTCATTGGTCACTACAGCCTAGAAAACAAATTATTAAATTTTGACATGTTATAAATAATTCTATACTAAACAGGTATATACTTATATGTATATAACTTATATATAGTTTATATAGATACATATATACTCTAAATATAGATGTATATTGAGAAAACAAAGAATCATGAATTTAAAGATAGCAACTATTTATAAAAGGTAAACAGAAAAGCAGAGCTTTTTAAAAAAATGTCAATATGAGGGCTGGGAAGGTGGCTCAGTGGTAGAGCGCTTGCCTTGCATGCCTGAGGCCCTGGGTTCGATTCGTCAGCACCACATAAGCAAAAAGAAAAAAGCCAAAATGGCGCTGTGGCTCAAGTGGCGGAGCGCTGGCCTTGAGCTGAAGAGCTGAGGGACAGCACCCAGGCCCAGAGTTCAGGCCCCACAACCGGACCCCCCCCCCAAAAAAAATCAATATGAAATATATTGTAAATAAACAGGGTTATTGTACCTCAGTTTCAGAGATGAGCTGATTGATTTTCTTGCACGTATAGAATGGGGCCACTTCTACATGAGCCACTCTCCAATCTGCTCCACGAGATGTTTCCAGAATCTTGTCATGCTTTTTAAGGATTTTTCGAAACCCTGTAAAATTCAGATTCTATAGAAAAAAAAGAGACAAACATTATTAATTTCTACCATCATTAAAGAGTATGAAAAACAATAAGCATTAACCCTTGAGAGAGCTGAACGAAGTTTGAGTACAAAAGAATTCATTACTAAACAGATAAAACTCTTGTTATCACTAAGACATTTTAATTTCCCTTTTATTATGTACAACTATTCCAAAAATAGCTTCTATTATCTTACTGCATTGCCAAAAGAACATTTGCAATGCACTAACCCATTTACACTGCACTAACACATTTATGTAGTTCTTTGCTTCTGGGAGATAATCATGTATGTAACTTCCACTTCCTTTGCACTCATCTAAGTTTGAAGATAGGAGCATGAAAGAGTCAATAGAAGTGACCATATCTACAAGGTCAGCTAAAAATGAGAAGCATGTTTTTCTTCAATGATTCCATTACTTTTGAGGAAATTTTATTACTGATTAAGAGTTCTTATATTGCCAACAATGGTTTAGTAGACACATATAACTATCAGAGCTGCTTTTAAAAATAGAAAGCAAATTGTTACTCCTTGAGTCAAGGATACCTCTTGAATATTGTACAAAAGGTTTTAGAAAACTCATCTCCAAAAATAGAGGTCTTTTTGAATACTGGTGGCTCATACCTGTAAGTCTAGCCACACAAGGCTAAAGAGGCTGAGATCCAGAGGATCATATTTCAAAGCCAACAGGAGAAGAAAAAAAAAAGTCTGTTAGAATCCATAATCCTAGCTACTCATGAGGCTGAGATCTGAGGATCACAGTTCCAAGTTGGCCTAGTCATGGAGCTATGGCTCAAGTGGTAGATCACTAGCCTTGAGCAAAAGAAGCTCAGAGCCAGTACCCAGGCCCTGAGAAAACAACAATTGAAAAAAAGAAACGTGAAGAGCTAGGCTAGAGGTGTACCTCAAGTATAGAGTACCAACAGAGCAAGTAAACAGAGCCAGCAAAAAGCTAGCCAAAAAAAAAAGAGAGAGAGAGAAAAGAAAGAAATCTTGACAAGGCACAGAGCCTGAAACCTATCATTCTAGCTATTTGGGAAGTGGAGATGTGGAAGACCAACTTAGGCAAAAATGTTGCCAGGCTTTTTTCTTTATTTGCCATTTTTGTTTTCTTTCCTTTTTGTTCTGTTTGTTCATTCATATGTCTTTGGGAGCTGAAAGAAGCACAGAAATGGAGGGACAAAGGGTGAACAATGAAGCAATGGTGCTCACAAATGAATTATACAACCTATGGATGGGGATGGGAGTGAAAAACTGGGAGAGAGCAAGGGGTGACATTGTCCAAAAAGAAATATACTCTTTACTTGACTTATGCAATTGTAACCCCTCTGTGTATCACCTGTATAGTAACAATTAGAAAAAGAGGACTACATCTCAACCAATGGCTGGGAACAGGGCTATATGCCTCTCAGTCTGTCTATGCAGGGAATCATATTAAAAAAAGGAATCATGATCAAGATCAGCCTCAGAAAAATGATGGTGAAACTGTGCTGAAAACAATGGCTAGATGTACTGGCATATGCCTATCATCCTATTTATGTGGGGAAAGCACAAATTGGAAAATCACGAACAGGTTAGCCCAGGCATGAAGCAAGGCTCTTAAGACCAATGCAAAAGAGCTGATGGCGTGGCTCATGAGGTAAGAGGATTTTGCCTAGCAAGCATGAGGCATGGAGTTTAAACTTCAGTAGTGCCAAAAATAAAAAAATGAATAAACAAAAAAAATTTCAGCTCTTGTCAAATCTGGCACATAGTTTTGGCCAATTAAAAAAACACTAAAAATTCCAAGAACCCCACACTAAAATACAAATTCCAAGAATAGACATATGATAACTTTTTTTCCTTTTTGGAAGCTTTTAATATACTTCAAGATAATTTGTCTTCTTAGAATTTATCTATTATTTTAAAACAACACTGTTTAGGTTAAGTACCTGATAGTTCTGCAGCAGGATAAGACTGAGGTAGAACTCACTGAATGCCAGTTTAAGGTCTTTAATATTCCTATGTTGGACACGTTCCTCATGTGACAGGTGGAAGACCGGCTTTCTGCGTTGTCGCAATGTAGTAACACCAGTGGTTTCTTTCTGTGCATCCAGTGATGACTGAAGCTCATTCTGAAGTGTAGCAAACCTGCGTTGAGCCTCTGCAAGTTTTTCTATAAGAAATAAAACAGAAGCACTAAGTTAAGAAAAAAGAAAAAGAAAAAAAACCTGGTAAAAAGATGAGGGTATGGGCAAGTGCAAGCACAGGGCGATGAGTTCAAATCCTACAAGTGAGAAAAAAAAAGATAATGAGTTCTTACTGACTTCTGAGTTTTTACTAATTATACTAGTTTGCTATTCTAGAATTTCTAGGAAGAATGTTACATGTACTATTCAGAACTGGATATGAAAATTATTTTGGTGGGCTGGGAAGGTGGCTCAGTGGTAGAACGCTTGCCTTGCATGCTCGAGGCCCTGGGTTCGATTCCTCAGCACCACATAAGCAAAAAGACAAAAGCCGGAAGTGGCGCTGTGGCTCAAGTGGTAGAGCGCTAGCCTTGAGCTGAAGAGCTGAGGGACAACGCCCAGGCCCAGAGTTCAGGCTCCGTGACCGGACCCCCCCCCCCCCAAAAAAAAAGAAAATTATTTTGGTGTAATACTGCCTTACAATCTCTAACAATTCCCTCCCCCCAAAACTGCTAGCCTAGATGTGAATAGAAGAAAGTTGGTCTACAGTCTCATCCTACAGCAACTTTCTCAATTCCAGAATGTAGTAGGCCAAAGGAGATGAAACTGATTCTGACTGAGAGGTAAGAAAAAGGGCTAAGTGGAAGGTGCTATTCCTTTCCACTATCAAGACAAAACTATAAATGGTCACACAACCAGATACATAAAAGATAAAGTATATTGAGTATAATAACTATAACATATTTTCAGATACTTAAAAAAGACAAGGGGAAGTGATACCTATGTAACACTGTTATTTGACTCCTCTGTTTACTTTGTGTAGAAGTCAGATGAATCTTGGAAAATGAAGATTTAATTGTAAACTTAAGCGGAGGTTCTCTCTGATGATAGCCTTCCAGATGTGGCATCATCACTGCAACAAATCAATATAGTACTCTAGCACTACATATGCAGCTACATATCCAATAATGTAGGTACTCAACTATAAACTTAATAATATAGCTACTCACTAGACAGCAGAGTTCAGCACTGATCCCCAGATATGGTAATATTACTGGGACTGCCCAGACAGGCAACTAGGAGAAGATTGTATTGGCTATCTTCTATAAGCAGGAGAGAGAGATTGATATCTCTAGAATAAATGTATTTGTGACATGGATATGCTTTTCCCATCAATATACTTCTGCTAGTACTACCATCTTCAGGGTTGCCTTATCCACCATTACAGTATTTCACATAGAAGTATTTATGATCAAGGTACTCATTACATACAAAGGTAATAGGCAATGGACTCATATCAACGGAATAGCAAGACCTAGTAAAGTTGGGTTTGGGAGACAAAACTCTGAAAGTGTTATTATTTTTGTTTTTACTGGTCCTGGGGCTTGAACTCAGGGCCTAGGCACTGTTCCTGCTCAATGCAAATGCTCTATCATTTGAGCCACAGCTCCAATTAAAGCTCTCTCTCTCTCTCTCTCTTTTTTTTTTTGCCAGTCCTGGGGCTTGAACTCAGAGCCTGGGCACTGTTCTTGAGCATTCTACCACTCAGGCCTCAGCACTACTTCCAGTTTTTTGTTTATATGGTACTGAGGAACTGAACCCAGGGCTTCATGCATGCTAGACAAGCACTCTACCACTAAGCCATATTCCTAGACCTTATTTATTTATTTATCTATTTATTTATGTATTTTACTGGAAGTAAGAGTCCCACGGACTTTCTGGCCCAGGTTGGCTTCAAACCATGATCCTCAGATGTCAGTCTCCTGATTAGCTAGGATTAGCAACCAGCGCCCAGCTGAAAGTGCTGTTTTACAGGATATAACAAGGAGATCATTATATGGTGCCAGCTCAGCTCCACCATAACCCCAATACACAAACTAGGAATCAAGCAATGGAAGCAAAAGTGGCTCCTCTCATTTGCATGCCTAATAATCACTGACGTAATTTTGGTTTCTCATCCTACAATGTGAGTTCTGCCTGTTGGTTAGTTCTCAATCAGCTAGCTCTACTAAATTGGAAGGTGAGATATCTACTTGGCCATTGGGGTATCCTCATACCATAGTTCCAAAAGGCAAAGCAGCTTATTGGTTAAAGTGACTGATTCTTTTCAAAAGCAAAAGTACTTTACTGAATCACAATAGGAACAGGAATATTATGCCTGGAAACTAGGGAATCAGACTTTTACTTGATATTACTGAGCAATTTTTACAATATTTTTACACAGGATTTTAGTGTATTAAAGTGAAAGGTTGTTAGGATTTCTTTGCAGTCTTCTACACTGCAAGAAACAGAACACATTTCTTCAAACTCATATTGAAATTGATGTGATTTTATATAAATTCTTAGAGTCCTTTTGATACAAGTTATAAACTGTCTTATTATCCATATTATTAAAACAGCACTGAAATTTCTGGTTCTTTCTTGGGTCATGACACATTTTAGTTTTAGCATTTTTTTCTTTCACACAAGTCTTTATGTCCTAACCACTAGGTAACCATCTGAAAAGTATTAATAATAATTTAACAATATTATTATATATAACCAACACAGATATATATATATATATAAAATGAAAAACTAAATTGATTCCAAGTCAACTATGTTACTATGCTAATTAAAAAGCCAAAATAGCATATCTGAGTGATCAAGTTTTATAATGTTAAGGAACAATATATAAGTTTACTTAGGTTCATTTCCATAGTCAGAACTATCAAAACATATGCTTTTCTGATTACATGCATTTGAAAATGCAAGAAGTCCAAGAAATGGATACAAATGCCTCTTCATCTGGCAAGTTCCTTACTCATTTTGAAAGCTAACCTTGAATACTGATTTCTATATAAAGCCTTTCTTTCCTAACAACTCTCTTGGCACAATTTGAAGTTTCCTCCTGAGAGTTTTCCTGGAGCAATCTACATACATGCATATGACACTAATTTCTCCTTTACATGTTTCCTTCATTAAATAGCTGTGAGCTTTCTAAAGGTAATACTTTTGTAATCCTTATCTGTGCTTTTGTAATGAAATTTTAATACCTTTTTGAGGTATAACTTATATACTATAGAATTCAACTACTGTTGAATTCCAATTTAATGATTAATAATTTAATGAATTTAATGATTATTGGTCCATCTATAGGGTTGTATAATTCATCACCACAATCCAACTATGCAACATTTTCATCACTGCATATACTTCCATCATAGCAAATGGCTGTCAGTCTTCACCTCTACTTCCAATCTTGAGCAACTACAGATCTACCTGTTGTCTCTACAAATTTGTATTTTGTGGATATTTCATATAAAGGAACCATGTAATATGTAATGTTTTGTGTCTGATTCCTTTATTTAGCATGATTTTGAGGTTCATTCATTTTGTAGCAGATTTTTCCAACAGTATCTCACTGTGTGGATATATAGCACATTTGTTTAAATATTCATCAGCTGGTGGGTATTTATATTGTTTTTTAGCTTCTTCTTTTTTTGTCTGTCCTGGAGCTTGAACTTGAGCCTAGCCTCTGTTTCTGAGCTTCTTTTGCTCAAGGCTAGTGCTCTACCACTTGAGAGTGGTTTACTGGAGATAAACAATCTCATGGAGTTTCCTGACCTGACTGGCTTTGAACTACAATCTTTAGCACAGCCTCCAGAGTAGCTAGGATTACAAGACTGAGTCACCAGCTCTTGGCTTCTTCAAGCTTCTTTTTAACCTACACAAATAATGCTGCTATTAACATTCTAGTCCAAATTGTTGTGGGGGCTATCATCACTTTCGTATCAGAGCTAGCATATAAAGATGGTCCTTGACTTACACTAACTTGCACACATGTGTTGCCTTTTGATTATGAGAAAGTGATATACATTCATTAGAAACTGAAATTTTGATCTTACCTCACACTAAAAGTATGTGCTCTATACCTTCTTGCAATAATAGGCAGCAGCAGCCACAGCTCCCAATCAACCACACAAACAACAAAAGTTATTTAACATGTTTTACTATAAAAATAGGTTTTGTGTTATAAAGTAATTTGGACCAACCTAAATGTAATATAATGTCCTTAGCACATTTAAGGCAGGCTAGGCTAAGTATAGGATTGGTGGTGGGTTAGGTGTATTAAATGCAATTTAAACTCTTAGGCTATTTTCAACTTAATTACACTTATTAAAAGTACTCATTTTTCAGTTGAGAAGTATCTGTAGTAGGTTTAATCTGTACTTGTTGAATAAAAGAACAAATAGGGAAAAATGCATAGTAATTCACAAAAACAAGAGAAATAAAAATTTACACTTATTTTGTTCCTTTCTTTAAACTAATGATTCTTTTCTTCAAGGCCTAACTATCTACAGTAGCACATGAGAATCCTTGAATAGAAATAAGGGATCAAATCACATAAACATGTGATTTGAAAAAGTCACATTCAACATTATTAGTTAAGGTAAAAGCTTTTTAAAATAGTTTTAAAAGGGATGACAACCATTACTTTGGACCAGGTGTCCAACTCTATTTGGCAATGAGAATGCTTTTCCATATCCAGATTAAAAACTGGGCATCAGTGGCTCACGCCTGTAATCTTAGCTACACAGGAGGCTGAGATCTGAGGATCACAGTTTAAAGCTAGCACAGGCAGAAAAGTCCAACAGACTCTTCCCTCCAATTAACCACAAAAAGCCAGAAGTGGAGCTGTGGCTCAAGTGGTTGAGCACTAGCCATGAACAAAAGAGCTCAGGAACAGTGCTTAAGCCTGAGTTCAAGTCCCAATATTGGCATCAAAAAGAAAAAAAAAGTACTTTGATCTATGAATGCAAATCTGTAAATAAACTTAAAAAAATAAAAACAGGAGTGGGATTACTGATCATAGGGTAGTTCTATGTGTATTCTTTTAAGGAAATTCCATACTGCTTTCCAGAGTGATTAAACCATTTCACATTCCCACCAACAGTACAGTAGTGTTCCTTTTTGACCACATCCCCTACCAGCATGTACTATTGTT